GTCTCCAGAATTTCACTTTGTTTTTTCCTGTCTTTATGTATCCAAATTCTTCCCTAAAGAAATCTGTTACATGTAGGATGATACGCCTCCCCTTCTAAGTCCGGAGTACGAACACTATTCAATGAATTCATACCCTTGGTATGTTCTTGTAAGTTTTACTCCCAATGAAGTCTCGCTCCTGACTGTAAGTAATCTCATAAGCGAGAACCGAACATTCGGGATACTTAGGGTTTAGAAAAGCTTCTAAAGCGGACAAGATTGCTAGCTGGTATGCGTTCAGAGGGCGCACGAAATCAACAGTAATTTCCACTAGCTCCGAAGGCAAATCTGATTTGTATAAAAGTATCCAGAATACTAGCTTTACATTGGAAATCAGAAGACAGGGTCACGAAAGCTTTCGTTGAGTAAGGAGATCTTGAGATACTATAGGCCGGCTGGGTGGCGAGTTTATGGTACAACACGACAAAGTTGCTGGTTACAGAATGTGGTCACAGCCGCTTCCCAGAGCACACATACTTAATTTATTGTACAAGGTGAACCCTGAGAAATAAACGTTAGCCAAATATGCTTAGGCGAGGAGAAGAGAACATACCTAGCAAGAGACGGATAGCTGGAACGGAATTTCATCAAAGTATGTACAAGAAAAAGGAGAACGATAGCATAGGTTCGAGTCGAGATAAGTCGTACTGGTTTACAGATGGTCAGCCATATGCAAATGTTGGTTTCAGAATCGATAAGTTCAGATACGATATCAACGGGACCGTTGTTGTAGATGATGACGATGACGGAGAGTTTGTAGCAGACAGACTTTAAACGAGTACTGTAAAAATCCTCCGGTAATGGTAGTATGTAGTTCTCTTGATGCAAGTTTGTATATGCGAGGACAATCGCTCATCAGTATGCATCCTTCTTGTAGACGAGTGTCATTAATGTTGTAAAACAGCGTTGGGGCATGCTGTGCATGCGTGATGATGTGGGTGTGATATTCGATTGGGAGAAAGGTAGGACCCTTGAAGACGATGGGTTGGTACGTGATAGATAGATCCGTGGATACAAGGCGTTTGATAGGTGATGCTATTGCTAATGAGCCCAAATTCGAGATAATGCAAAGACAATAACAAGATGAAGAGGAGAAATAGAGATGTTGAGAATAACAATGAATAACGGAGGGAAGGATCTGGATTATAATGAAGGGTGATGAAAGTGAGGGGATAGTCGTGAGTAGCCAAGAACCGTTCAACGTCCCAAGGAAAAGA